GGTCCACAAGTCTTCTGAATCCTTAGACCTCTTTCAGGTTTTGCCAGTGGGTAACACCCCTGAGGGCTCTCCTGTATTATGTTCCAGTTTGGTTATGTCAGGCTTCCCAACTTTTTTTCAACTTCCACACTCCTGACAGTTCCCTCAGCAATCCCTCTTATCCAAATAAATGTGTCAAAATCTTTAGGGGATAACCCATATTTTGAGAAAGTCCAGGGTGGAGTGGTGCCTTCTCCCCCTGAATATTTGAGAATGACTAGGTTAGGTGCTATATTCCTAGCTGGAGCAAAGCTCTTAGTCGCAGAAAGCAGATTTGAGCAATCTTAAAAGAGATCCTTTGATATCTGAATAACTGGGGTGACTGTGACTTATTCCATTCCTAATGGCAGCAGGGCTTAGGAGAGGAACCTCTCTGTTGGAATAGTATTGGAGCTTATCATCTGGTTGGTGAGCCAGACACATAGACAGGTAACTGTAATGATGGAAAAAGAGATAAATGCGGTGACAAAGGTACAAACAGTGCTACCTGCACACATGGGATAATCATTCTGAAGTGGTATTTGAAATGGTCTGTATAGATTTAGGGAGGAAATTTCAGGCTGAGCAAACTGTGTGTGTGTGTGTGTGTGTGCGCGCGCGTGCGTGCAAGCGGGGACGGGGAGTGGAGACGGACATGACAGCCAGAAGTTTTCCAGGAAAGGGGGAGTGGTCTTCTCTCACTGCCTAAGGGATGAATATAGGGCAAAGCCAGAAAGAAAATTAGGGTCAGATATAGAAAACTCCAAGTTTTCCCTTTAAGGAGGGAATCTGAGCCAGCAGGACTTGGGGGTTTCATGTTTTCCCTTCAAAATTCATGTCCATTGGAACCTCAGAATATGACCTTATTTGGCAATAGAGTCTTTGCAGATATAATTAGTGAAGGACTTCAAGGTGTGAGACGAAATCACACTAGATTTAGAGTGGGCCTAAATCCAATAACTGGTGTCTTGTAAGAAATGAAGAAGATCTAGGTTATATAAAGATAGAGGCGGTAATTAGAGTGATGCAGCCAGAAACCAAGGAACACCTGAGACCACCAGAAGCTGGAAAGGCCAAGGAAGGATTCTTCTCTAGAGGCTCAGTTGGGAGCACAACATTGCCCAAACCTTGATTTCGGATGTATGGCCTCCAGAACCATGAGAGGATCAATTCCTGTTGTTTTAAGCCACCAAGTTCATGGTAATTTGCTGTGACAGCCCGTGGAAACGCCTACAGTTCAGGAGAACATTTGAATTCAGTATGGACCTTTCAAGTTTAGTGTTGTCTATAGAGTCCTTGTTGGAGATGGCCAGTGGGCAGGTGGACATGTGAGGAGACGTCAACTTGGGAGGCTTCCATAAAAAATGGTCATGGAAAAGTCAGGAGCATATGAGATCATCGGGAAAAAGTGTGGAGCAAGAAAATAGGGTGGAAGAAAACCTAAGGGACCACCTCGATTGAAGGTGGGGGAGGGAGAGGAAGGCTGAGAAGGAGCTGCTTATTCAGGAAGGAGAAATTGTTCCATCAGATTGAACAGTGTGTAGAGTTCTACAAGGTGTGGATGGAGAAGCGATGCTGGTTTGAAAATTCTTTGATAGTCATTCATTTCCGTATCATATTGTGCTGGTTGGGAAGAGATGGGCGTTACAAAGGTAGAAGCAGCCAGCATTGACCACTCTTCTCATAGAGTTTGATTGTGGAGACAAAGAGAAATGGGATTGATCGTGTAGATGGAGAGCAAAAACATAACTGAGGGAACGTGATGCTTATTTGTTCTTTTTAAGAATATGACACTTTTCGTTATGTTGTTAGGCTGTAGGAAAAAGTTAAGGAGAAGATGTAAATAATCAATGAAACAAGTTTCCAGAGAACAGACTTATAAATATTTTTTATTGTGCACCCACGATGTGCCGGGCATTGTGCTGGGGTTTAGCTTAATGATTTCATGGATCTTCTCAGTGTGACTAGAGAGTAGAGAAGGATTATCCCCTTTCTATAGATGGGGAAACTGAGGCTTGGAACTGTAATTAGCCTAGTCAATAGCTCAATCTCGGATTGAGCCCAGGTCTGCTGACTACTGTGTCTCAGTTCTCGTTCTGTTATTTTCTATTTGAATAAAGAAAGCAGTGTCTTTCTCTGATTCACAAAGAATAAGAAGTAGCATAAAACATAAGCAGAAGACTTGAAATGGAGGAGAGGGAAGTTGTAGGTGTTTCTATCATGTGGCCTGTGTCCTCATCAAACCGTGATTCAAAATGATCAGGTGTGGGGGAGGAAGAGTGACATCAATCCTGGGGTCTTCAGAAAGGAAGGGATTCAGGAGAACCTCAGTGGTGAGATTCCTTAGGGAGCCAACCGGGGAGAAAGAAAGGACCTTGCTTAACAGTTAAGGCTCCAGGAGGATCAGCGGGCTGCATTATCCCCTGTGTGGGGAAGCAGAAGTTTATCTCAACATGGACATCTCACAGGAAAGTTTTTAATAACAGCTCTGAAAATGCCCCAAGCCATAAATACATCTGAATTTTAAATTTGAAACACCCACACACTCCAGGGCTCCGAGAAACAGCCATCAGAGATCCCAAGGGGATTATCAGCCCCAAACCACTGCTGAAGGAGAAAATGCTGACAAGCCTGGAGTTGGCCTGTCTGGTCCGGGTCCTCCTGCTGTCTTGCCAAAGCCAGGTGCACTCAGCTTTCCGGCAGGGTTGCCGTTCTGATATGAAAATAACCTAAGTCCTTGACTCAAAAATAACAGCTGCCAATTTGCATGAGAGTTTTGCATTTCGTATTTGGGTTTAATACCCAAATGCTAAGATTGATTTGTTTGACCTTAGGTAAGTGGTTTAGAGGTTCAGCCAATAAAAATTCCTTGCAAGGTTCCACTCTGATACACCCAGACCCAGCTCCCCAGGCTGGATGGCTGTGTTCTCCCGCCACCTGGTACTATGTTCACATTGGATTGACCCTCATATGAATTATGGGTTAAAAAGGACAAATCTGTTTACCTGAAGCCTCGTTACTTTTAAAAGAGTCTCAGGCAGGTGCATCTCCCCAAGTTCACATGTCTATCGAGAGCTCTGCTGTGGGCTCCGAGCCCTCCAGGGTCTCACTTCCAATGAGCAGCCCCCCCTTGGAACTCCCTGGCACTGGGTGTGAGGGCAGCGGTTATGGAGTGAGACAGAAAAGGAGGTGTCAGTGAATAATCAGTCGGCCACATTCTCCATAAAGGCAATTACTGGGATTGATTGTTTCCGTGTTTCCTTAGTCACGGTTCAGCTTGCTTGTTTCAATCGGATTAAGACAGATGAATGCGGAATCACACAGCCATGTGATGTCAGGAGAATCATCAGTGGCACATTCAATGGCTCTGCCTTATTCTACAGATGCCACTGGGGTCTCAGCTGTTTTGAAAGGGAACCACCAGCCCATGGGGTGAGGGTGGGTGTTGTGGACTTGGGGATTTTAGATAATGCATTCTCTCTGTTTCCTTCCCATCCTGGTGTTGCGAGGTGGTTTTTCAACTCGAGCATGCCCTGAAGGGCTTGTTAAAAAAGGGGCCTGGGTGCCATCCTCAGGGTTTCTGATTCTGTGTGTCTGGGATTGTGCCCAAGAATTTGTATTTCTAAGAAGCTCCAGGCTGCTGCTGCTGCTGATAATGATGCTACAGGCGCCGAGATTTCACTATGAGAACAGTGGGATGTAGTGATCAACAGCTTGGATGCTGGGACCAGGCCACCAGACTTTCAATCTCAACTCTACTATGTACTGGCTGTGGGATTGTGGGCCATTTTCTTAACCTCTCTGTGTCCCTGTTCCCTTATCTTTAAAGCCGGGTAATAATAATAGTACCTAGTTCATGGGATGGTTACGAGGAATAAGTGAATTAGAACCTGGACGCACTTAACCCAGTACCTGGTGTAGAATACATGCTCTGTGCATGCTGGAGAAATAAATAAAGAAGCCAGTCTTTTGGGACTGTGAGGGTATCAGCCTGTCTTACATCTCCAACACCTCCAGCTCCCAGTGGACCTGCTGGGTCATTTTACCCATTAGTCTTCAATCCCATCTCTGGTGTCCAGGAAAGCTACTGCCCAGCTCTGTGCCAGCAGGAGGGAGGTTATATATCCACATCCATCAAAATCCTCTTCTCAAGCTACCTTAATTCTTAAAATCTACTGAATATGTTGAACATAACTCCATGAGACCAGGACACTAGGACGGTGTGCATTTGGCGTTTCTCTCCGTGGTGCTAGCAAAGGTGCTGCCTTTTATATCCAGCTCAGTTGTACCTGCCTTACTGTTTGCTGCCTTTCGTTGAATGCTGACTCTGTGCCAAGCTCTAGATGTTCCACGCACATGACTTTATTTAACCCTCACAATGCCACTGTTAGGTAATCATTATTATCCCTCTTTTAATACTGCTAGAGTTCAGAAAAGTTAAATGACTTGTCCAAAGTCACATAGCTATCAAGTGATAAACCCCAGATAAAAAGCCAGGTCTGTCTGACTTCAGTAATTTATAAATTACTTAAAATTCAGTAAATTTTAAGGTCCTTCTGTACTACCTCCTTAGCTTTGTATGAATATTTCTATAAAGGGTAAGGCTGGGTCTTCAGGTATCCAGCAGTGGAACCTGCTCCCCAAAGGTAAGCACCCAGAACTGAAATTGCCTCTGATTCAGGAGTCTGCTTTTCTCAAGTTTGTGCTGGACTCACAGAACATAATCCTTTTGGAAACGTCCTCTTCAATGACTTGCCTCCCATTGCTTGGTTATTCCCTCTGGCCTGACTTCGGGATGAAATTGTGTTCATGTTGCCAACAGCGGCTTCTCTTGCCTGCATTGGGATATTGACCCAGCGTCTTAACATTTCTGATCGCGAACAGCGCTCCCAACCAGACTGTCAGGAGAGCACCCAGGGGCTATTCTGAAGATGTGGAGAGAGATGGTGGTGTGCTAACGAATCTTTACTCTTCTTCCACAGTGCTCCTTTCTGCCGAAATTCTCCATTCACATAGAAACCAAGTATGAGGACAACAAAGGAAGCAACGACAGCGTGAGTAGCCCCTCCATTCCATACTGCGCTCTCGTCTCTTGGGCTCTGAGAGTCAGAGTGCTTTCCCCAGCCCCTGCATGCCCAGAGCCAGCAGCGGGATCTGTGCCTGGGACCTCAGAGAAGTGCTGGCCTTTGCCTTCCGAGGGCTCTGGCCCTGGGATTTCTCTCTGGGCTATTTTGTCATCTAGCTTTTCTTCTCGTTTTTATGTGTAGAAGTTTCTGTGACCCAGAGTAATTGTTATTCGGGATCGAGAGGATGGTAGAGAGCTTGGAATCCAGGATTTGATTTCTGATCATTGGGGCGAACACACATCTCAATGACTATTAACATTTACTTAGAAAGATGAATGCAATCAGATAGATGTGTGCATTCTGTATGTTTTGTGCTGGACTTTGCGTATGTTCACATATGTACATGTGTACACACATATCCCACCTTAAGATCAGTGTGCCCGTCCTGCAAAATATTTACCTCATGAGGCATTCTGACCCTTAACTAAATTTCAGCCAGGTACTTTATTGGTGTTGCTTAAAATGCATCTTCTGACCTTTTACCCCAGACTCTTGCTCTGTGGTTCTTTGTGTTGACATCTTCTAGAAACATCTAAAAAGTATCTGCCTGGGACAGGAACAATTTCTTCTAGAAGGTCTGGGTGTATTTGTGCAAGGCACAGGTTGTCTCATTCAAGGTGGAGTCTGCCTAGACAGAGCTTGAGTGGTTCCCAAGTGTCATTCAAACTATATTTCACATCAGCCTGGTAAGGGAGGACACTCATTCATTCATTCGTTCATTAATTCATTCAGTATTCAGCAAGGGGTAATCAAACACCTTCTATTTATGTGTCACTATATAAATTGCATCAATGGTATTAAAAATACATTTGTGTAGGGCCGGCCGAGTGGCTCAGTTGGTTAAGAGCTTGCTCAAGAGTTTGAGCTCTGAGCAACAGCGGTCCGATTCCCGGCCCGAGCTGAGCAGCCGCTGAGCTGCCAACTGGTGGCAGGATGGCTCAGCTTAAAAAAAAAATACATTTGTCAAACTTCAGGTACTCAACATATTAAAATAACTTAAAAACATAAGCTTGATAATGGGATTCCCTTCCTTCCCTGTGAAGAGTCACTACTGGTCGACCCTCACTCAGAAAGGGAAGAGTTTGAGGAGCGGCATTCAATAATGACCTATCTATTTACAGGGACTGACTTGGCTTGTACCTATTCACTTCAGCTTCTAGAACTAAGTTAGAAAACCGGGAGTTTATCAGGAGTCAGCCAACTATTTTTTGTAAATAAAGTTTTATTGGAACACAGCCACACTCATTTGTGTATTATCTCGGCTACTTTCATGCTACAACAGCAGAATTGAGTAGTTGCAGTGGAGCTCAAAATGGCCCACAGAGCCTAAAATATTTACTTCCTGGCCCTTTACAGAAAAAAGTTTGCTGATCCCTGTTTAGAAAGACAGAGCAGCACCCACTAGCACTCACCAAATTTGACAACTTCTTAGATCTTTCTACCAGCTGTCACAGCTGAATGTCTTGACTAGAGTTCCTGGAACTTTCCAGAGGAAAGACGACTGTAGCCAGCAAGGGTACTTACTGTCCTCCCACTAAGTTCAGGATACCCAGTGGTTAGCATCCCCTGGTGGTTACTGACCTCAAGGGAAAAGTTGAGGACCATCTCCTTGTCAACAGCCTGAAATTAGAGGTGCTTTGCTGGCCAGCCTCATCAAAGCCTCATTGTTTAAAATACAGAAGTTGACAAAAAATGTATACACATTTTAAGAAAGGTAAAAACAATATTAAAATTGTAATACTCAATATATACCAATAACAAAAAATGAATACAAGTCGTGTATACATTTTTTGGCTCCCCCGGTGGTGTTACACAGTGTTTAACTTGAACCCTTGTAAAATAATGACTTCATTTTTCTGATTGGAAAATTAACACATGGTTATTAAAACTTGAAAAGCACAAAAGAAAAACCAGTAGTAATTCAGAGATGACTGCTATTAGTATTTTGGTTCATGTCACAGATTACTGATGAATTTACTTTTTAACCACCTCTCCTAAAATTGAATCGTGTAATCTGCTGTTTTTAACCTGTCATGAAGTGTCCTTCCCAGTGTGATTTTTTAATGGCTGCACTGCATTCCATACTTAAATGTATTCCTTTAAATAATTGCCAGTCACTGGATATTGATGCGGGCCTGACCATTTTGATGTAGCTGTGGATCATCAGGAAAAGGGTGATACACATCAGATGTGTCTGAATTGCTTTTCCTGGCACAGTCTTAAAGCACGGGGGCAGGGGATTAACATCTTTTAGTTTTTTCAAACAAATTCCCTTCCTTTCTCATTTTCTCTGTTGCTCTGTCCTCATGAATAGTTAAAAACTGCTCCATTTGTGGAGGTCTGGGGAGGACATGCTGCCTCACCGGGATCCCTGTAGGTTTATAGGAACAGCATAATCTGCTGATTTATCCTCTGCTCTGTTCACATAGTCAAAAAGAATTTCACATAATTCTCATTTATTATCTTATATCCCTTGTCGGCAGATGGTAAGTTCTTTTTACTACTCTTCTAAGCATTTAGCTTTGTCACTACTGTCCTAGGAATTTAAGATCCCAGGTTGTTCACCCTAGAGTCAGGATCCTTGCTTAGAGTCACCATCCCCTGTCCATGCCAACGGCCAGGCCCCCCTGAGACTTAGACCGGCCTCCAAGAGAAACACCAAACCCTGGGCACTTGCGTATAGTCCTTGTCAACACAATTGACTTCCTCTGGGAGAAATGCCAGCTATTGTTCCTTGTGTTGTTTCTATCTCTCCAACTTGCTGATTCTGAGACTGCCATTGGGGCCAGCTCCTTACATCTCTGTCGTGGCACCCAGCTTGTCCAAGCCCACGTGCCACCATCTTGTTACACGGAGGCACCTGGCTCTGTTTCATAGATCCCTAGGTCTTGCTTTTGAGGTCATTGGACCAGACAGGCCAGCCCCAGCTGAATTAGACTTTGTAGTTTGCCTTCCTGTAATTTACATATTCAGCAGCAGCTGTTGGTCACCCAGCTGGCTCAAGGTTGGTCCCAGGAAGGCAGAAAAGGAAGACTTCATTGGTTTTCGTTCACACTTGTTCCTGCTTTGAAATCAGAACCTGAGAAATATATATTTATGTAATAATACATACGTTAATCATTAAAAAATAGCTTTGTTTCAAGGGTTCAAAACTAGAGCCTTAAGCAGATGGTGTGTGCTGGCATGCGCTTTTTCTGTCCATGGGTGAGTATGGAGTTTTTGGTGGGAGGCAGAGTTGCTAAAGAAAGCAGCGCAGCAGTGGATTTTCTCCTGTCTCACCGCTTTGCCACATTATTTCATAAACTCAGTTCATTTCTTTGCATTTTCTGGGCATATAGTCTTATCATTCAGCTGCCATCCTTCATACTGCTATCTACACCTTGTTTCCCACCTTACCTGCCAAAAGTTTAATGAAATGGATGACGATAAGGAGTAATAATTAAATTGAAAAATGCTAGTGATAATCATATTGATTAATGATTGAATAGAGTACATGTTGCTATCCTATTATCCATCACCATATAAGTAATTTTTTTTACATGACCCAATATCTAGGGGAAAAAAAATGGTGGTGGTGGGATGACTAGGTTTAAATATCTTCTCTGTGTTAAAATAAAGCTGTTATAGCATATTTATGATTGTGAAAACCTGTAAATTGTGAATACATTAACCAGGACACAATGGGGACGTTGTCTTAAATTGAGGTCCATTTCTTTTATTCGCATACTGATGAGAATTATTTAAGCCTTAATTAGTGCTGAGAAGGATGGCACCAGGCCAAGGTAAGGTTCTGTTGTTTATACAAGGCCATAAATCTAGATTTGGGAAAGTCAGTGCTTAGCACTCGGGTGACGGCTGCTGCCAGGTTACTGTCGTTCACTGGGGTTAATGGGGGCAGCCTTGCCTTTACTTCCTCTTCCACACAAAGCAGACACCATTTAAAACAGTGCTTCTCAACCTCGGCTGCACATAGACTCCCCTGAGAGGTTTTAGCAATGGCTCATGCCTGGTTTCCACCCCGCTAGGAATTAATTGGTCCTGCGTGCAGGTTGGTCGAAACCAGCCAATGCACATGAAGGACAGAACACTGTCCCTCTAGGAATGCCAAATTCGCCAATTGGGAGTGTGTGCAGTTTTAGCATCCATCCTCCAGTTAAACCTGATATGTCCTCTTGAGGGGGAGGGAAAGTGTAGGATATGCCATCCCGCCATTGGAGGATTCAGACCAATGGGTCTCAATCATTGCTGCATATTAAAGTCACCTGGGAAGCTTTAGCACTCAACCAGTGCCACAGTCTCACCCCCTGGGATTCTGATTTCATTGGTCTGGGGTGGGGTCCAGCCCTTGGAATTTGTAAAAGCTTCCCCAGGTGAATCTGACAACGAGCATTGAGGCTGACAACCATAGACTTCAAAGAACTATTATGTGCATTTAAAACCAATTGTGAAACTTAGGAAATCAGGTTCTCCAACTTTCTTCACTTCTTTATACCCCTGGAAATAGAATGGATTCCAAAAGGCATGTTTATAACCACCACTTCCACCACCACCCACCCCCACACACAAGCAAAGGGCCTGAGGGTACCATATTTTCTCTCATTAGCCATTATTCCTCAGCAACGAACCTCCTCTGATCAGATGGAAAGAATGTCCAGTGTAGTTCCTGGAAGCATGAGGCTCTGTCCTTCACAGAGCTCTCCTTGGAGGTTGTCTAAAAGAAATATTTGGAATTGATTTAGTGTCTAGTTATGTTGTGATAAAAGAACACAGGATTTTTCTTTGTGAAACAAAAAGGTCTGTATTGGACGTCCCAGCTATATGACCTTGAGCAATGGAGTTTGGTTTCTTTATCAAGGAAATAGAGTAAATAATGCCTGCATGACAGCGTGAAGGATTCATACAGGTTAATTTACCTGGAAGCACTTCAT